GTAACCATTATTTACTACACAGTGTTAGTGTTGCCATTATAAACCAAAGATGACACAGAATGGTTTAAAATAACAGATCACTGGCCCTCCCTTACAACTTTCAAGGACTGAAGGTATACTGATACTTACACAGACACTTACTCAGTGACACCCATTAACGGACACAGCCCCTGTAAGGCATCACCCTTACCCAGGGCACTGGGCCCGAGCATAACACAAACAAGAGGGCTATATCTTAAAACACCTTTTTTATTTTTTGTTCGTTTGCAGATGGTGACCTTCTCACTTTTCATACTCATGTTGCTCCAAGTGAGAATCGTTAAGGTAAAAAAGTATTCTTTAGTATAATATCATGATCATGTGGTTCCATTTGTTCTTTTCCACGCTCTTTCTTTTGTGAATAAGTAGGTAGTAACTCGTTTCTGCGTAGGAAAAATGCCCAAATTGGCATGTAAAGATATATTGGTAGCGTGGTTGCTATAGCAACAAATACTGTTTTTTTAACCACCCTTGATTTTGACTGCGAATTGTTCCAAGATGCACAGATTCGTCGCAACCCTACTTTGTCTTACGCTTGAGACTCTATCTAGCCATCAACGGATGCATATGCCTGACTTCATAACCACAGCCAAGGAAAACAGTAAACTTAATATGTGAAACATCTTAATTGTACATAACCAAATAATTCTTTATACACACACCAAGTCAAAACTTTGACACTAAAAGATCGCTTAACCTTTTTCTTGAAAGGGAAGACAGTCTTGGATTCTGGATTCCATGTCATAGATTCCACACTTTGTCAGCGGAACTTGGAATTCGGACTTCCAGTCGTTATAGGGATCCCGGATTCCTTGAGCTGTATTCCGGGTTCCAAAGCCCAAGATTCAGGATTCCGCAAGCAAAAATTTCGCTGATTTCCGATTCCAAAACGAAAATTTTCGGATTGGGAAATCCGGGTTTCCTTACATGAGGCAACTAATTATATTACTATGATTCCTACTGTTAACAGACTGAATCAGTTACGATGGAAAACGTAAAAGCAATATGGAATCGATACAAAATGGTCACCCAAGGAGATGTAAGGAAAAAACCTTTGTAACCATTTACAATGGATTAAGGTCTGTTTGTCAGTTTTTTCAATCGTAATTTAGGACGGGAGTGATAAAAAGGCTGATGATGATGATGATATTAATAAAATTAAAATTGTTTTGACATGACTCTATACGTTTATAACCATTCTTCTGTACTTGCATAATTCCGTTTCTGTACCACGTGTTCTGCAACTGTGTCACCGAAAGCCAGGAACATTTGCAAGCTTATCTCGTTTTTCATAAAACCGAAACAGGAATTTATATGCAATCGTAAGTCTAAAATATACATGGATATAAAGCTAAGCGATGCTTTTGACGTTTTCCAAGAGCACGTACTATGGGATATACCCTGGGGGCGGAGCATGCGCCTTAGATCCGCCATCACCGGTGAACAGTCAGCCCGGATGGATCATGGTGGCAGCTGGACAATATGACTACCAGAAGTCTGTTGGGTGCGGCATGTGCATCGAAATCACGGCCAACGGAGAGCAAACGAGCCCTGAAACTGGTGGGCCCACGCCTATGAAAGGCACCTATAAGGCTTACATTGTAGATCTATGTGGAAGCTGCAATCAAGGTTTGTTTATCTCCTGTATGAAGCAATATCTAAAGGAGCAATCATTACATACTTCGAAATTCTATTCTATAAGCGATTTCATTCATCCATTCGAAGAGAATGAGGCGAGAGCTGGCTATCCTACATCAAATCCAAGAGTTAGCTTGAAATTATGCTCAAATGTATGTCCAAAAACTGTGCTAAGTAGATTCCGTTTTGTTGTCTCCGGCTCTGGCATATACGTACTATTTCATAGTTATAAACTGGAAGGCGTAGGGCTTCGAAATTACTTTAATTTTACTCCGTAGGGTACGATCTACTTATATCCCTATAAAAAAAATGTGTCTTTTCTTCCAGCCGGTTTTGATTTATATATTAGCGGTTATGGCAAATACAAGACCTCTTTTAAAGCAGTTTCATGCCCCAGTGTACCTGGTCAAGAGGGGAATATTCAATTCCGTTTCTCTGGAAGCAATACTTGGGCCATTAAACTACAGGCTCGAATTTCCAAGTGAGTCACGTAATCAATAATTTTAATGTTCGGTAATGCTTGTAAGGGGGGAGCCACACAAACGGTTGGCAGGGGCATAACCAGAATTTTTCCAGGGGTACGCACAATTTTCCCGGTCCTCTTCCACATCCCCATCCCACCCTCCCCCAACTCTCAACCACGTTTTAATGCTTCATCGAGCTTAACGTTATCTGCGCCGACTTTTCCCTGCCTTTTCTCAAAATATATCGGTCTACCATTGAATCACGCCTGGAAACCGACATTCAGGAGTAATTTCCATTCCAATGTTTTGGAATTTTTGCCCTCAATTTTTCACATAAGTACGCGCGTACCGTGCGAACAGGTAACTATGCCCCTGTTTTCGCCCCATGTAAGGAAATTCGGATTCTGGAATCCGTGCAATCTTGCTTCCGGATTGCGGATCCTGAGGCCCGTTTCTCGAAAGTCCCGATGGGTGCCATCCATTCAACCAAAATTCCGATCGGTCCGACCGGGAAAAGTGGTCCACCTCAAAGGTGGACCAGTTTTTTTTAAACTTTTCCGGTTGGACCAAACCGATGCATTGAGTCTTGGACCCAAATTTTGGTTGAATGGATCGCGCCCGGTAACTTTTCGGGCCCGAAATTAAATATTCAAATCAAAATCTAAGGAATAAAAGCGCGGGTTCTGGCTGAAAAACCAGTCCATTTTGTTTTGTTAACTGATAGCTTTATCATGTTTTGCTGCAAAACTATTGAAACTTCGATATTGAATCAAACAACAACAGCTTTCCGGGTCCGTAAACTGAGGGACTTCCGAGAAATGGGCCCCTGGGCCTCAGAATCCGGAACGCAGCTACAGTCCCCTACATGACGTGACTGCTTACAGTAAGTCCTTTTAAAATTTAGCACAAACCCGCGGATCCAGGGGAGGGGCCCGGAGGGCCTGCTTCCCCTTTTATTTTTTAGACCAAACCGCATTGAAGCCTGAAGGGCCAAAAAAATTTGTTTTAGAGACCCCCCCCCCTTATCTGAGGGTCTGAGATAAGGGGGAACGGTCTCAAAAAAATTTGTTTCGTCCCTTAGGGCCTCAGTTTGGTCTAAAAATAAGAAGGGGGGTGCCGACCCTTCCGGGCCCCTCCCCTGGATCCGCCAGTGTTATGTTCATATTATTTTCAAACAAGTCTATTTGCATTGTTCATGGCCCTAATCAGGAGCCTATATGGGCTCCTGGCCTAATGTTTCCTTGCTCTAAAGGGTGGTGACTGTGGGTATGGAGATCGAGCACAACAACAAATGGGTTTGTATGGAGAAGACAGGTGACAATTACTTTTCCATTAACGGAGTGGGAGAGGTGCAGTTCCCAAAAAGATTCCGATTAACGAGCATCAGTGGGGAGCAACTACTAAGCACAGTTCCTGGCATTAAGAACGATGAGAACATCCCAACAGACATTCAATACTCCGATTTCAATCCAAGTAAGAAATATTCCTACTGTTTTAACTAAATTTTGGCAAATACAGCCAACTCTTTTTCAACGGACGTCTCTATACTGAGACGGACTCCTCCGGACACCTAGAATTGGTCCCTGCCTTTCTTTTCTTCACTTCCTTAGTTTGACTTTCTCTATATATGCAATATTTTGATCCCCCTCTGGTTGTGGATATGAGTGGCTCATTTCACTCGCTACAAAAGAACATTGGTGTTGCATTCTCTTACTAGCTATATAGTTTATATTGCTTAACTTCCTTGTATGTATAGTTTTAATTATTTAGAAAGCTCCCCGCTCATCTGATTACTTCTGATATCTATTTTCCTACAATATTAATAGTGGAGGTATTTTTCATATTTTTTGTCATTGTCATTGTCATTGTTGTTTGTTTGTTTGTTTTTCTTTTGTTAATAATTTACTTGGCTTTTAATTGTTTGTTGAATTTGAACTTGCTGTCGGAAACTGAATGACCATTTGTTCTCTCATTATCAGACAGTAATCCTGAAAACATCAAATGCTTTGGACAAGGCGAAAGCGCAGGACAGTGTGAGTACCTTGCATCAATCATGTTATTAGAATTAATTAGAAAGCAAGCGCATCTTTTTGGGCATGATACGTGTTTTTGAAGTGCTAAAATTTTCTCAGGATTAAAGCTCTTGCTAAAGTTGCCTCGTTTGGATAGGTGACCCTCTTTTCAGCGAAAACTTTTCTCCATACAAACTAGGCCTTAGGCCTTAGGCCAAGGCCAATTAACGTCGAACTTTTGTTTTTGATCATACGTCGAACTAATGAAGCGTCAAACCAATCAGACTTCATCATCTAGAACAGACTGATAGAAAGTGTTGGTCGATCCAAACGTAACTGTCATTCGGACGAACTTAACTGAGACAGACGTCGAACTTTTCATAAACTTAATCCACCCAGTTTGGTTCGTCCCATGCAAAAATCGACGTTTGGCTTTGGCCATTCTTAAACTGCCGTTGTTGTTGAGAAAATTGTAGCTTTTAGACTACAGCTGATCAATCTATACTTATAACCAGTTCGATTATGTTTCCTTGTTCTTCTTTGAAGCCTTTGACTGTTTATTTAAAAAATCCGTATTTTTTAGCCATATTTTCCAAACTCAACGTGTTATACTGCTACCCGTAATTTTCTAGTACCAAAGAGCGACCAAGCAAGAACCTTAATCTCCCTCCTTTTGGTCTGCCAGTCACTCTGTATGGTACGAATTAAGCAATGCGCTCCAGCCTACGTTCAAAATCAAGATCTCTGGCCTATCATTTGAATGCGATCGCTCGCGCACTTTCCAATTTCTCTTGCGCTGCTGCCAAGTGTCGTGCGCTTTCTGATTTTAAAAATTCTGGAAGTCTGTCTCAGCTGAAACTAAAAATTAAATAGGAAGACCAGTTAAACTGTAGTAAGTGGCTGGTGGGTAGATACAAGATCAGAAGCTCACAGCTGACATGGTGATTTCTAATAATCAATACACCTGTTTGAAGGCGGACAGGAAGTTGAAAAATAGTTATAAAAGCTGTTTTCGAGTTTTCAATTACCAAAGTTTGGCTATTCAAATGTAAGATAACGAACAGCAATATCATGATAATGTTTCCAATTACATTTCACGAAAGCCGAAGCTTTAGACTTGATAAAGACAAACCGTCTATTTTGTCATACACCCACTGAAGCATGCATTGAAAGAGCTTAAATTAGTCATGAAATAATATTTATTTATAATACAGCGACAATTTGGACCTTAAACCTAAACCAAACACTTTAGAGGCTACCAGTAGGATCCTCTCCTATTACAGTTTTCCTGCTATCAAATTGTCGACGTAACTTTAAGGTAGGCAAACTAAACAGAGGCTTATTTTCCTTGTAAATGCAGTGGTGCTATTTCTCCTTGTCCCTCGCGATCGCCATAACAGTTCAGACCAGGCTGAGTTGGACGACAAACTGCTGCCCTTATCACGCAAAGAAAACCATTCGTAATGATTCTCACCAGTCTCAAAAATGAGAGGTGCGACCCAGAAAGAGGATTGCAAAATACTGAATGGCCATTTGATATCTTTGAAAGCCTGATATTACTGTGCCTTGCCCGTTTTACACGATTTTAAAAAACCAACTGATACCCAGTATTCTCTCTTGTTAAATTGTATCGTCTATATTCATTACTTGTGTTATTCTTCTAGGTTGTGTGGGAATGGAGCCAAGGGATATTAAGATAAAACCATTTTTAAAAACAAACCACTCGCCCGCGGCTCTTGGTTCAGGTGTTGGTTCCACTCGAGTTTTAAACATTTATACGTCATTTCCATGGTCGATAAAATTATGGTCTATGGAAAATTGTTGTTGTTGTCTTTTTTTTTTAACAGTAATATTGACAATTTTTGACGTCCATTTTCGTTGAAGTTTCTTGGAAAAACCTCGCTCGAGGAAATAGAAAATGAACTGAAATATTGCGACATCATCATTATGTTACTTCTACAGTCTACACTGTTATCAACTGTGGCTCTCAACCAATCAGCGAGAGACATACTGCCCTGTTATTGGAAAAAGGTGCGTCCCTGTCAACTCTAGCAAAGCCACTACATAAAAAATCAGTCGTTAAGTTAGTGTGTATTTTCAAACAGACTGCAAATGTTCAGGATCCTCCCAGCCCTTTGAAAATAAGAGAGATTGAAAGAGCATAACACAAATAGTGAGTCTGCAAATGTTAAGGTTTTGAACTCTTACGTGTGCGACTGATGTGGTCCGGTTTGAAATAGGGGAAAGAATACTACATTGATCAATGGTCAATGCTTTTTTCCAACATTTGTAAAATCGTAGTCTTAAGTGTCAGTGTATTGCTCAAGTTGTATCACAAAATTTTGCAAGCTGTGAGGGGCCTATGGCAAAATAGGAACACAGTAGGAAACGCCCTTTTATTTTTATCAGTCGGGAAAAGGGAGCAAGCAAGGTTTCCATTTGTTCTCTCCTAATTTCCATGTGCAACCGCTCAAGGAGTTTTCGGCCTTTCCACCTCGTCCTTTGGGTACGCAAAAGAGCACACACGGCGCCAAGGCAAAACGCAATCGGCATAAACGCCTTTTTATGTGATTCTGGTCAAATAACAACAAATTAAACACACCATCATAAGGAACAAATTTTGACCAAATCGCAACAGTCAGAATAGACACTCAGTTATCGGCAAGCAGATAACTAACTTTATATTTTATTTTTATTTATTTTATTTTATTTACCACACAATAATTACAAAAAAATAAAGGAAAAGAGAGAAAAAACGAAGTGGCGAGGAAACCTAACAGAAACTATAGGAGCTTATGAGAGGTTAGGCCTTCTCGAACTACGGGTTAGAGCTGTTTAACATCAATTAAAAAAAAGATGGCGAAAAGTCGAAAATGGAAAGATTTATGAACTGTTTTCATATTCATTCGATAAATATAACTTGTGGATTGTGCTGATTTCCAACGAGAACATCGGTCGTAGAGTAAGTACAATCACTAAAATGTATACAAATGTTAGTTTATGCTACGTATTTACTCTCACCCTGGCCACCTCAGTATTTGGCTAAGCTAGATGGCGCCGGTGGCGTGAAATTTGTTGAGGCTGACAATTGCTTTGAAATATTCTCTCGGAATTTGCAGTCAAATTTTTCCTTCAAACCCATTCTCGCTGCAGGACCTTTATCTCTAAAGCAAGCAAAATCGTTTGCTCGCTCTGGACACATTCTATCACGTTTTATCTTAATTATTCTTTATTTTTTGTCGTTATTTTCTCAGTAAAACCGTACTTCAATAATTCATGGCTAATGAAAGAATATCTTCGTGAAACCCTTCGCACTAACCCAAGCTAAATCTGGCTATCTCAAGATTTTTTTCTCCTTTTTCTTGTTCGTTCGTAGATGGTGACCTTCTCACTTTTTATACTTTTGTTGCTCCAAATGAGAATCGAAAAGGTAATAATGTGTTCAAGTGTATTGTATTGTGATTATGTGCTGGGTTCCATTTTTTCTTTTCCAAACAATCTTACTTTCGTGAGTCAGTGTTGTAGTGTTGGACAAATGCCCAATTTGGCACACATTGGGTCAGCTATAGGAAAATTAAGACACCCTTAATTTTAACTGTAAATGTTTTTACATTTAGGTTAAAAAAAAAAAAAGAGAAAAACTCGTCGAAACCCTACTTTGTTAAACTGTTGAACCTTTCAGTATTAAGCGGCCACCACCGAAGCTGCATAATTGCATAACCATGCACAAGATATTTAGATTCGCGTTGTCTTGTGACCATCATATTTTTAATAAATAGCAAATGGGCGGAATACGGTAAATAAATGTGAACCACATTACATATGTGGACAAGAAATTGAACTGATAACCCTTTGTACATAGTACATGCACCCTTTCAAAACATATAAAAGACTAAACTATCACTTAACTTTTTTGGAATACAAGAAATAGCCTTCTATTTTTATTTGCATCACTCTAATTCGTCGACTAATAAACTGTATTATTTTACATGTTAATAGACTGAATCAGTTACGATGGAAAATGTGAAAGCGATATGGAATCGATACAAAATGGTCACCCAAGGAGATGTAAGAGAAAGAAATTTTCGTAAGCATTAACAGTGAGATTGAATTCTCTTTGTCAGTTGATTTGTTTTCACGGTATTATAGGGCGAAAATGATGAAAAAGAAAAGCACAATGAACCTCTTCCAAGGGGCAAATCGGGGCCGGCTTTTTGAGTGGGGAAGGGGTCCTCTTAAAAAACTTTTAAGTCAGGTACGAATGCCTTCTTAATCATACGCCCCCTCATCCCTAGCTGCATCCCTCCAAAAAAAGTAAACGAATTAATCAATACTAGTACGTAAATGTTTCAATGATGGAATCTTCAGATGACGAGAAAAAAAGTAAAAATCAAAATTCATTCATACATGACTCAATACGTTTCTAACCCCTCTGCTGTCTGTGCGTAATTCCGTTTCTGTACCGCTGAAGCTGTATCTCCTTTTTCATAANGACTGAATCAGTTACGATGGAAAATGTGAAAGCGATATGGAATCGATACAAAATGGTCACCCAAGGAGATGTAAGAGAAAGAAATTTTCGTAAGCATTAACAGTGAGATTGAATTCTCTTTGTCAGTTGATTTGTTTTCACGGTATTATAGGGCGAAAATGATGAAAAAGAAAAGCACAATGAACCTCTTCCAAGGGGCAAATCGGGGCCGGCTTTTTGAGTGGGGAAGGGGTCCTCTTAAAAAACTTTTAAGTCAGGTACGAATGCCTTCTTAATCATACGCCCCCTCATCCCTAGCTGCATCCCTCCAAAAAAAGTAAACGAATTAATCAATACTAGTACGTAAATGTTTCAATGATGGAATCTTCAGATGACGAGAAAAAAAGTAAAAATCAAAATTCATTCATACATGACTCAATACGTTTCTAACCCCTCTGCTGTCTGTGCGTAATTCCGTTTCTGTACCGCTGAAGCTGTATCTTCTTTTTCATAAAATCGAGAAAACAGAAAAAACGCTCATGATAGATCCATAAAGATCTAAAATTTTTATTCATGAAGTTAGCTAGCGATGCTTCATTTGACTTTTTTCAAGAGCACTTACTATGGAAAATATCCAGGGGGCGGAGCATGCGCCTTAGATCCGCCATCACCGGTAAACAGTCAGCCCGGATGGATCATGGTGGCAGCTGGACAATATGACTACCAGAAGTCCGTTGGGTGCGGCATGTGCATCGAAATCACGGCCAACGGAGAGCAAACGAGCCCTGAAACTGGTGGGCCCACGCCTATGAAAGGCACCTACAAGGCTTATATTGTAGATCTATGTGGAGGCTGCAATCAAGGTTTGTTTATCTCCTGTATGAAGCAATATCCAAAAGAGGAATCATTACATTGACCAAAAAATTTTACTGATTCTGAATCTTTTTTATTCATCCTTTGTTGTTTCTGGCGAAGAGAAAGAGGCGAGCGTGTGATATCCTGATTAAATTCAGAAGTTAGCATCGATAGCTTAAAATAATGCTCTTTATTGTCCAAAAACTGTTAAGTCAATCTACAAGAAAAAACTGTTGAGGGCGTGGCTTTCGAAACTACTTATATTAAGCAGGCTATGATTTCTTCATTCGCCTTATGATAAACTGGCTTTTTCTCCAGCTGGCTTTGATCTCTACATTAGTGGTTATGGCAAATACAAGACCTCTTTTAAAGCAGTTTCATGCCCTAGTGTACCTGGTCAACAAGGGAATATTCAATTCCGTTTCACCGGTAGCAACCCTTGGTCCATTAAACTACAGGCTCGAAATTCCAAGTAAGTCACAATAATGTTGTAAGAGGGGAACCACACCCACAGTTACTAATCTTTCCGTAAATGTTTTTTAAGTTAAACACAAAACAGGGGCTTAGCTAGGGGTTCCTGGCTTGCCCTTGCTCCACCTCCCTTTGTGAGATAGTTGTTTTAAATGTCCCTATATTTCAGGTGGCGAAAACGCCCGTAACCGAATCTTTTACATCCATGCCGAACCTTGCTAAAAGACAAATTGACTGATGAGCAGTTAATACCAAAGCCCCGTTAGTTCCTTTTTTTTGGTGCAGACAGTCGCTTCAGTGTTTAACATCTTCCAAGAAAACAGCTTTGGCGGAAAGGTTCCTCTTACGATTTCATGTTTTAATTTTTCTTGCTCCAATGGACCCCACTGTTTCCTTTCTCAAAAGGGTGGTGACGGTGGGCATGGAGATCGAGCACAACAACAAATGGGTTTGTATGGAGAAGACAGGTGACAATTACTTTTCCATTAACGGACTGGGAGAGATTAAGTTCCCAAAAAGATTTCGATTAACAAGCATCAGTGGAGAGCAACTAGTAAGT